GCCTGAGGAAGGGGCCGCGGAGGGTGCTGCCGCTCGGCTTTCCCTGTGCCAGGCCGGGCTCCGGCAGGCCCGGGTGGCCTCTGTCGGTGCCTTGTCCGTGGGACGCGCCGGGCTTTCCAGTAATTTGCTCCTGGCGATTTTCCCTCTCTTCCCAGTGCCTCAAGCAGTCGCCGCGTTGGAGTGGCTCCGTGTGAGCGGAGTGTACAAAATGGTTTGGGGTCCTTCCCATCAAAGGTCGTCATAATCATGATTCGTTTCAGTAAGTTTTGGCTTGTAACTCCTGTCAGAATGTTGCTTTAAATAGGTGTTGCTTAAAAATAACTGTTACCTGGATCCACGGCAACCGCTCCTCCCCCATGTTAAAAAAGGGATTGTTCATTAAGTCATATATTCTTATATGACTCTTATGTGTCTGCTGCAATGCTTCATAAAGATGATCTGAATACTAGTAACAATATTCCTACAAACTTTTCATGTTGAATGATGCTTATTTGTTTGTTGCATGTATATCTGATAAAAGCCCCTTTAATAACAGATAATTCACCCCAGTGCTGTATCAGGAAATGGACTGGGACCAGTTTGACTTGAACCCTAAAGTAATTGCCGCCCTTAAGAAAGGTAACTTAATTTGCCCGTGTCTCGATAATAGATCTGTCACCATAGTGTCTTCCTTTACATAATTGTGTGTTTGTGGGTGTAAGCATATAGATGTACAGTAACATTTTAGAAGTTTTTGGAGTAATTAGAAGTGATTTTTTTTTTTCCCCATGCTCCAATAATACATTTCCAAACAATTTTATAGCATGTGTTGATACATTTGAAGTAAATGTTGCCTGCCCTGCTTACAAGGATTCAGTGTAGGTAAACTTCAAGTAAATGAGCAGTAGAAAGTGGGAAGACTTTTCCTATTGTGCATAAGACTGTAATCCAGCCAAAAGTATTTATAAAAATTCTTCTAATTTCAGCTGACATAAAATCAATAAAAGAGATTTTAAATCTTTCTGGAGCAGACTTGCAAAGATTGATGAAACTATCCAGTGCAGATATACAGTGCTTACTGAAAACAGTCTCTTACGCACTGAGGAGAAACAGTATGCTTACAGGTAATATAGTCAATACAAAAAACCTGTTCTATTTAAATGTTAAAATACGGTCACTGGGAGAAAACATGGTTTTGGCTCCTCGTTGACACAGTAATGGGCCTCTGAAAATGAAAAGGCAAGTGTTTTAGTTTTGCTGTAGTGAATTACTTGACTATCCTAAGGACAGCTCCTCTGAGACCTTGAAGGTAGATGGAAGTGGATGGGTGTCATTCCTCAGGATCAAGCCTGCCTGAAACAGGACAAAATGATTCTCCAGTCTGGAAAACTTGATTAGAAGTACAAAATATTTCCTTTTTCTTTCTCCCTCTCTCTCTCCCTCTCTCCCACTATTTTTCTTTTGGACTAAGACTACTTGAAAAACTTAAATCAGTTTATATAGTTTTTAATATATCATATAAACACCTCATTCCAAACCAAGCAGGACCTAATAGCTCCTCCTGTACAAATGCTTCATGGCAGGTCTGTGCTTAAAATTTATTTTCTTGTGATTTGCATATATCTTCAGGCCTTGGCCAGATGCCTGCTACGCTGTTTCATAGTCTGCTATAGCTTTCCATTTCCATAATTGCTGTGCTTGAAGCTTGCTGGCAATATTTTCCCAGAGTGTTGCTTTCCATGGAGACTGCTTAGAGGCAGAGAAAGGAAAAATGTTCAAGAGAAAGAAAGGGCTCAGTGTAAACTATCAATTTTTGAGCAGGCCTTCAGTTCATAGGTCCTGTGGGGAAAGGGAGGTGGGGAAGACCAGGCTGAATTAGAAAAATCTTCCATCAACAAAGAAAGCATTCCTTGTATATGTAAACCTGGTATACAGCCTCTATTTTGTATCGTGTGTTAGAAAGATACTAAAAGAAACTCCTTTTTTTTTTTTTTTTCTTCTTAATCACTAAAAAAATCCAAACCCTGCAGCACTTCAGCTCTACCAAGATAAAGATCATCTCACCTCCCAGCACCAGAAGCTAAGCCTGGGATGTTCAGTACTAGACAACTTGTTAAAAGGTGGCATTCCTTTAGTGGGAATCACAGAACTTGCTGGGGAAAGTTCTGCTGGGAAGACTCAGATTAGTTTACAGCTGTGCCTTTGTGTGCAGTATCCTTACAAATATGGTGGATTAGAGTCTGGTAAGTACTGAAATGTAAATATTGATTATTGATTGCCATTTGGAGGAATATACTGTCTTTAAGAATATCATCAGTGCATTGAAGTAGATGCACGTATTCAGTGCATGTCTTAACCTTCTGCAATAGCATTAGTAGTAAGCTAGTTAGTTAGTAACGGTATATATTCCCTAGTTGGGGGTTTCAAATTTCAAAGAATATTTAGTTTTATAACAATAATTAAAGTTATTTACAGAGTAAAATTGATGGAAATGTAATTGAAGAAAGTTAACATTGTTTTATACCTGCGATTTTCCTGGTTTTGCCAAAGTAGGTTTATTCTTTGATTAGAGTGTGGTTTTTCAACCATCTATCACGTTAATCTAACTCCTGATATTTTTTAGTTTTAGTATTATATGCTGTCTTAGAAAGGGAGGAAACTTGTGTCACTTCTGAGAGTTCAGTGTCCTGGCAGTCTGGCCTCAGTGTATTTTGGCTGTGATCTTGCTCTTCCTTCCATGCAGCGCTCGGTTTAATTTGGCAGCTCAGTGGTTTGTTGTGGGGAAACTTAATTATTTCTTGTACTATGTCCACCCATGTGGGAAAATCATGGAATGTCCAAATGAAGATCTTGCTTAAAGGGTAGTAATTAGCCGGTGGCTTACATTGCTTTAAGTTACGTCATTAATTAGAGCAGAAGCAAATATATTTTGTTCGATTCCTTCGTGTGCTACTGCTAACTGCTGCAAATAGTTTGAATGCAAATACATTTTTATTCATGCCCCAGCACTTCTCCCTATTTATGTTGAAAGAAAGGAACAAACCAGAACAGAGTACAGAAGAAGGTGCCCAACATCCTAATGGCACTCTCATCTCTTGTACCAGACTGCAGTCTTCCTTGTAGGGCTGCAAAATGGCAAGTCTTTTCGTTATTTGTGTTTGAAGATGGTTCTTGTGTCATATGCTCCTAGCACTTGGTGCCATTACGATTGCTTTGTCGTGTCTGTGTTCCTCTTCTACCCACTTCGAAGTGTTTCATGGAAGACAGGATAGAATGTCCATCATATCAATGCTCCTGTGAGAGAACGAGAGCATTTTGGAAGGGCTGAGAGGACAGAGCTTTTGAGGATCTTGAAGGTATAGAAGGTAGAAATATCCTGCTGCAGGAGTTGGAGAGCTAAGGGAGTGGTGGAATCCTAATTCTTGCAGCTCTTTACTTTCAGTGTGGTATCTTGCCATATGTTAGACTGCATGCAGTCATAGCAGCAGATATGGTTTGCATGGCACTTAGAAAATGAAACTTGATTTCTCTGCAGTCTATAAATAAGGGTTGTGTTGAGCCTCTTATGAGAAGTACAGGAATTAAAAGCTTATGTTAAGTATGAGGAGTTTTATTCTTTAGGAAACTGAGGAGAACAACAATGCTTAGTAACTATCACAGAAGTCTAGCACTACCAATAGAAGATTAATCTCAGTGCTAAAACTTCGCTAATGATCTATAATTATAGTGGGTTGTTTGTTTGGGGTTTTTTGTTGTGTGGGGGTTTTGTTTTGGTTTTTTTTTTTGGTAGTGCTAGAAACTTCCCTTCTCTTAGGTGGTGATGTTGAAATCCATTTCTTCAGACAATATAGATTTATTGTGTATTTACTTTATCTGACTTAGTGCTAATCTTGTTTACAATTCTCAACGCTAGGAGGTTGGCAGCAAACAAAGAAATTGGGACATCCTTTGCCTGAAGGTTATCTTTCTGCCATTCTTAGAATGTCAGTTATGGTCAATCGCATGTTGGCTGAATTTATTTTGTAAGCCCATATTCATAAGTAATACATGAATATAATGTGACAAATTCACATCCATATTAGAATTCTGAATTTTGATTCTTGTTAACAAGCTGGTTTGGTACATGACAGGTTATGTTCATAGGACTCAAAATTTGTCCTTCTTTGAGAGTGGGGGTTTTTAGTGGTTTTTCATTTGTTTGGTTGGGTTTTTTTGGAGTGTTTTTTTTGGTTAACAACCAGCATAGCACTTTTATCAGCCTAAATAACAGTAAAGTACTGGGATTCAATGAAATAGCTGTTTTCTCTTTGGTTTTTGTGGACCTGCGAGGAAAGATGCTTATAAGATCACTGGGGATGACTGACTTAAGAGTGTCTCTCAGCTTCTGTCTCAAAAGTGATAACTACCCTGACTCTTGACTTGCTGTTAGTATTGGCAGCTTCCTAATAAACTGTAAGTAGCACGATGCCGTAGGCTTTTCTGTTTGTGTTGTACCAGTCTCCTCTTTTTATTTAGGTTATGACAATTGGCTTATCTTTAAAGATATGTGAATATTAAGTGCTTTTGTCTCATAATTAGGCATCGGTCTTTAATACTGAGTTTAGTTATTTGTCAATCTCTTCTAGCCCTTGCAACTTTACTATGAAGCACTCCTGTATTTTTAATGCACGGGTGTGTATTCTCATTAATCAAATGTTTCATTGTGGTTCAAATTGAAGAGCACAAACAAAAGCTGAAAAGGCTTGATGAAGGTCCAGTAGGAGAAAGTGCCACTCTTGTTGTACTGTGAAACTCAAATTTTAAGCCAAGGCAAAGCTCATCTGATACATTTTATGTGGCTTAGCTCTCTTAAAGTTCAAGATGAAAATTACATATTGTTTTGTGAAATGAGTAGCACTTACTTAAAGAAAAAAAAAAAAGAAGGTTGCCCCACTGTATATTTTGGAGAAATTACAAACGGCCCAATTATTTACTTGGAGTACAGTGTCTGCTGTAGTAGATTTAACTGGTGTCAAAGAAGTGTTACAGCAGAGTAGAAGATTGGCAGGTGTCTGAATGCTGGTATTTACAAAATTAAACTGAGGCAGGAAATAGTCGATGAAGTAGAACGGTTCTTAAGAAGGAATTAATCTTGATTTTTTTTTTTTTTTTTTTACAAGTGTTTCACTAAAAAAAAATTAACCTGAATAAATGTGTTCACTTGAACTTTAAAATTGCTGTCATGATTTTACAAAGATAGTGTGTATCTATTGATCAGGAATTTTAAATCTATGTTGCTGGACCAGTGGAGCAGAGAGGACCAGATTTTTGCTTCTCCAGCTATTCTTTTTTGCCGACAGGTATTACAGCTGTAGGATTACCTTGTTTGCCTCAATTTACTTGTTCATCAGGTATAAATGTGAAACTGGGCCACAATTGCATATATGTTTGTAATACAGTAAGATTGCTTGATCGTTTTATACTCTTCTGCGTTTGCCTTCTGTTTATTCCTATCACTGTTCTTATTACTGTACTGAAATGATCTGCAAAGAAGATATCTAGGAGAATTGTACGTTTCTTTTTCTCCAGATAAGTTAATTTTGGAAAAAAATGTATTTTTCCAGTAAGTTTCTCAGGTTTTCTGTTTTGAAATGTCTTGAACGTTGCAATAACTCTGAGTCGAAATACAATTATCTAATCAATGGAGCACCGATCTATCTAGAAATGCAAATCTGCATTTGAAAAAACAACCACCATGAAGTCTCAAGTAATGGACATTCCATCCTTTTTAAGTAAACCAAGGAGAGGACAAGGGACATACTGCTTAAGGCAGGTCTGATTTTTAGAGAGCAGATGATTTCTTTGTAAGCCAGTATTCATGGTAAAGAAATCCCTGTCTTTCAGAATTAGGCAATGTCGTAGAAAAGGCAAGCAGCTGTGAGTAAGAATGGTAGTTGAGAAGTCCAGAATGTTTTGGGTTTTGTTTTTTTTTTCACTTGAGGAACTGTTAAGTTACTGTGCTAACACAAGTTAGCATAGCTTTTGTTACTATGGAATTCAGAAACCACACGGGCTTAAGGAAGCTGCATATCATGGTGGGGTTTTACTACTTTGTTTGTTTACTTGGTTTTGAATTTGCACCATAATGATTTTCAGTTTTGTGCTGTAAATGTTGAAAGACATAATTGGCTTATCTGAGTGAGTATTGGTGCTAGATATACATAATGTCAGATTTGTAATTAGAAGTTTTTCTTACTGGCTTTTTAGAAATCATGAAACTGAAAATCTGATTAGGAACGCATGAACTGCCCTTAGTAAAGATACTCACCGGCCTATTTGATACTCAGCTGTCACTGTCAAGTTGGAAAGTGATATGAAAATTAGTCCAACTAGGAGAAACTAACCTAGAGAAATAGTCAAGAAAGTTAAGGTTCACCTAATTAACTGTTTAATAATTAGCTATTTAAAAAGCCTTAAGCAATTAAGTGATATAATTAATAGTTTACTGTGTTTTCCTCACCTGAGCTTCATTCAAGTTCAGATAGTGCTCAACAAGCTGCTGATGTCACTGTAAACTTAATGGATTCAAGTAATTGTGGGCTCATTTTCTCTTTTTTTTGTTTTCCTTCTTTGCTGATGGAAATTTGTGTATGTGCTCATCTGTGTCTACAGATACTGCATATGACTTCAGTCGTTGTAATTACCAAAGACAGCACTTACGCCCCCACTTTAACATTCAGAATTCCATCTACTCAAATACTAGAAAAAAAAGTGGGAAAAGTACAGAAAATATTCATGGTTCAACTTCTTAGTTTTTTATACGTTGTAGTTCAGGAACCGTGATCAGATCGTGACTGTTCTGATCCCTAATGCTTTATTGTAGCCCTCATTCACTGTCAAATGTTGTAAACTGCTAACAACCCTCAATTCCCTCTGACATAAGTATATACCTAATGAAATTTGGGAAATTAAGAACAGAGACTGAATATTCTATTGATAAATGCTGTTGTCTGCCAGGAGCAAGGAAAGTAAAAAGGAGACCAAGTATAATTTGGACCTGTTATTAGGTAGAATGGAAATAGAAATTGTGAGATTTCAGTAAATCCTTTGGAAGGCATGGATGATGATGAAGTATTTTTCCATGTGTTAATAATTGAGGAAGGTCTTTAATTCTCACCTGTCAAAGAATTTTTTTAATCAGTGGGCATGGGTAATTTTTTTTGCTTTACCTGATAGCTTCAAGTATTTAAAAATAAGACTATGTATTGGAAAAATATTTGTGTTTTTTTTTTTTAAATGTTTCACATGTGAAGTAGGGTGATTTATGTAAGAATTTAGGGTGGGGTTGGGCAGAGTTAAGCTGAAGATGCAAGTTCAGTCCTAAAGAAAATGAGGCTCAGGCTCATCTTTGTCTTACATAGAAGATTCTCAGAATTCAATACCCTGTGTTATACAGGTGTCCATCAGCAAAATATTTTTATTGATAAAGTAACCATTAATTTTTACTTGATCCAGTCCTGAGACCTTCCAGTTTCTACTATTGCATATAGTTTCTTTTTTTTTTCAGTGGAATATATAAAGGATTTGGAAGTTACATCTGGAAATGGGACTTTCTGTTCCCTGGAGAGCCAGCGTAGGGATGGACCATTGGGGTATAGATATTCAGGATGACTCGTGTTGCCAAGCACATCAGCTGCCAAGCTGTGTTAGCAGCTTCAACCGTTTTAGTGAGTGGACTTAATCCTTAGATGTAACCCTATAAGTATTAGCTGATAATTCCAGCTAGTTCTGCAGTAACAGTAAAAATTTTTTATAAAGAAAATACTGGATGTATATCTGTTTTCTTTCCCTGACATCTTTGATGTGTATGGTTAATTTTCTCTGAAATAATGCATACTTGTGAACCAGAAACCACAGTAAAAATATAGAGACATCACTCACAGTAACGTGATGGAACTATAATGCTTTTTATCTAATCTGCCATTTTCAGGAAGAGTTAATTGGACTGAGATTGGATGAATGATCCTCTTTTTAAACTGGCTTACGAATTGTGGCAATAAGTACCCCTCCACGTGTAAATTTAGAAACAAGAAACTTGAAAACACTGAGTGAAGTTAATCAAAATACTAGTTGTACTGGTTTTGGCTGGAATAGTTAATTTTCTTCATAGTATAGTGCTGTGTTTCAGATTTGTGACCAAAATAGGCAAACTATGCAGAGTCGCTATATTTGTGGGTTGGATAAATTATGATACTCGTAAGCACACAAGTTAGGTGGTCAGGTGTTCCACAGCTGTGCAAAATGAGTGTCACCTAGTGGAGAGTACAAAAATCTACTTGCGTCAGCAGGCGCCAAAAAAAGGGCCTGGCAACTACAGGAAAGTCATAGGAGTGTTTTTTTTGTTGTTCCTCATTGATTCAATATGGCTGCAAAAAAAGTAAGACGAATTCCAGGTACATATGTCTAGCTTTTGAAGTCCAGAATGTATTCTTTTATTTTTGTGCTGTTAAGAAAACATGATGTGTAAGAGCCCTGCCGTAATAATAGAGGTGGTTTCCTTGATTCTAGGAGCTGTCTACATTTGTACAGAAGATGTATTCCCAAGTAAACGTTTGCAACAACTCATAGATCAACAGCATAAGCTGCGTGCGGATGTTCCAGCTGAAATCATACAGAAGATCAAATTTGGAAACAGTATTTTTGTTGAGCATGCAGCAGACCTAGTAAGTAGTAGCACAAATTAAGAATGCATAATTATTACACTATAATCCAGTAACCACAGGGTTTTTTTGGTATAGGAGACCTTTTGAAAAGGCTAAAAGTGAACTAAGATCTGTAATGAAAACTTCTTAATCTCTGCAATTTGCTGTTAGAGAACTGTCTATCACAGTGTGTTATTATGAAAGATATTAAAATATAAATATTAATATTTTTTAGAATGAATCATGTAGTGGATTTTTGTAAGTCATTATGTTTATTAACATGTAGTAGACTTATTGCTACTAGTTTTACTGCAGCTCCTAGGGAGATCTTCATTGAGTTTGGAGACAGGATATAAACATATATGCAAAAGGTGGTGTGCGTCCTGACTAACTTGCAGTGTAACACCAGAGTTGTTAAACTGCAATTTAAGCAGATGGGAGGAAAGGATACAAAAAACAATGCCTGGAATAGGTAGTGGCACAGCATAACCACAGCAGTGCCGCTGCCTTGCCCCTCTGCCTGTAAGATGTCACAGTAGAACTGGAGGGGAAAAGATACAAACTTCAGTACTGTATTCTTGCCTTGTAAACCCACATTTTTGTGCTACCCCAAGTAGCCATGGGTATGCTCTTTATCGGTAGAACACCAGAAGTTCTGTTTTCTCTGAGGCTTGAAAGTAGCACTTGTTAAATCGTTCCAACTGCTGGGGTTTTTTGCATCGTAGTTTGCAAGTGTAAGAAGATCTTGCACACTAGTATGCTTGCCGCTTACTCACTGTGGGGTCCGGGCAGCAGCTAAGCTACCTTTTCCACGTCCCTTTCATTGGAAATATTAAAGTTCTAATTGTAGTTTCTGGAAGCTACAGAGTATGTTATTGTAAAAAGGAGAGAATCACCCTATGGTAGTATGTACATCTCTAAAATACACTTAGAAGTAAAACGCTACACTCGCTGGTAAGTCCAGCAACTGCACAACAGATTATTACAATTCATATATTGCTACGTATAGATTCAGTTTGCGTGTATGTGTGTGTATCCATATACATAGAATGCATTGCTATATAGAGACAGGCAGATTATAGCAACTGAAGTAGAAACCCAAATCACAATTATGTTCTGTATTTTCTTTCACATCAAAATTTTTTTACTTGCTTCATTCTGAAGAATCCAGTTGTTTGCGTATTCACTTGAAAAGAATGAGCCTTGTACAAACAGGAGGACCACGTACAAACAGTGAAGTGTTTGAAGTGCAGTATAGTTTCCTGTAGATAAACCAGTAAGTGAAACCAAAAAAAAAAATCCATTTTCCAGAATGGAAAACAATCATGTATTCTTCAGAGTAATTTTTTCCCCTCAGTTTAAAAACAAACAAACAAAAAAACCCAAAAAAACCCCAAACCCTTTGATATTATAATATTATTTATTTTGTAAAAAGCAACTCATTCAGTAGAATAGATCTTACTGTAATTCAGACTTGAGAATTACAATTCAGTTTTAAAAGCTGTGGAATGCTAGAGGATATTGTATGCAGTTTTGGATGCATATAAGCTCTTAGCTGTGAGCCTCTATTTAGATACAAAGAGTGGCACCAATCACGAGAACTGTGCCTCTCACGTTATTGCTTTTTTTTGCCAACATTGAAATTTCTGATGGCCAGAAGCTGAGATTATCACCGTGAGCTTGTTCTCCTTCCTGCCCAGCTGCTGTAGACCGCACCGTTAAGGACAAGATTGTTGTCTTTACAAGGATCTGTCATCTGATTCATAGGATTATTCTTATGTGATAAGAAGTTGCGCCCTACAAAATATGTTAGTTAAACTTCCTGCAATTGAAATGTTTGGTGACTTCAAAATATTCAATTAGTAAAACTTTTAGTAGGGAGGATGTAAGTTGCAGCTCCTCACGTTTATAAGAATCCTGATCAATATGGATTTGATGTAGCAGCTATGTATTTTACTGTTAATGTGTCATTAGTGGAACAGCAGCATAGTCTCTAACTTCTGTTTTGAATATTTAATGCTAGTCTCGAGCCCTCCGTGTTTCAGTGAGAACCACTCCTGCAAAACAGGAATGGTTTAGGATTGTAGTATTGCATTCTTGAGATTTTGAAATGTCAGTAAATCATTGATATAAGTCAGAGCTTCAGATAACTGTACATTGCAGTTTGCTGTCTTTATTTTTTTTGTCTAAAACCACAAGACACTTGTGGAAAAGGGATACTAGTGAGACTTAAAGATCCACAAACTCACTTTATGATTAGAAACTCCCATCAGCTTGTGTTTCAGCAATGATATCTGTAGTTCCTATCTTGATTTTACAAATAAGAGTTATTTGAACTGTTTTAATGCTGGCTGTTTGTAATTTGTGGTAGGATACCTTTCACAACTGCATTACTAAAAGGATTTCACTACTGCTCACAAGAGGCATGGTGCGGTTGGTGGTCATAGACTCTATTGCTGCTTTGTTTCGATGCGAATTTGGAGTTTCGGATTCGGTTATGAAGGCTCGGTATTTGCAGACATTTGGAGCCCAGCTTCACAGTTTAAGCACAAGATTCAGGACTCCCATAATGTGCATTAATCAGGTATGACATCAAAATTGCTTCTTATTTTATAGGGACCGTTTAGTAAATGGCTGGGACGGGGAAAATCTGTGTATGCAGATTTCTTGGTGTTGTATTTAACACTGTCAACTTGAGTATTAATGACTGATGGAAACTGAAATTTCCTTAAACTGGTGTACTTTAGTAAATTTTCTCAAAGTTTAAGAATATCATTTAAGCTTTCATAGACTGTTAATGTTCTCAAAGGTTCTCCGTTAAAGCTAATGAAAACAGATATGTATAGCAACTGCACAAAGCATCAAACTTTGATGCAGGAGACAGTGAAACACCAGGGACTTTGCTGCATTTTTGTGAAGCTCGGCATTTTTGTGTAACTGCTGAGATTACTAAAGCATTAGAGTGCAAGCAAGCAGACTCGAGCTGAACCAAAAAAAGGCCACAATGATACTAGTCAACAAGAATATTCTTTTGAGAAAAACTAGATAAGTCACTACCTCTATCCTGTCAAAGCGTCATGCCACTGCTCTTAGTCTAATCACAAATTGAAGGAGCATTTGAATGCTGGAGATGAAGCATTCACACTTGGAATGTGGCCTGAGAAAGGGGTACGTAAATGTGCAGGCAGGCCACAGTTGGGAAGCTTCCTTTCCGGAAGGCCCTTCCATCAAATGAGTAAGTAAGTACTCAGCCCTGAGGTTACCTTCTCACAGCAGAAGAAGAGAGGTAGGGAAATTTTTTTAACTTGAGAAGTCACAAAGAAGAATAATTTTATATCAGGAAGAAAGAGGATCTAGATACATCAAGTCAACTGTTGTTTGGTTTGTTTCTGTTCCCTAGGAGGAGTTCTGGAACCACAGAATGAGCAGTGTGTAAAACCTTACATTTACTGCCATAACGGGAAGGGGCTGTATTGGAATTCACACATAGCAGTAATTTGAACAGCTTTCAGGCATGCACAGTGTTTTTATTTTCAGTAAGATTCCCATTAACATTCAGTAGGATTTAAATTTCAGCCTCGAGTTACTCCTAATTTCTTAACCAACTTTTTCTTACATAATCTTTCATAGGGTCAGCTAGCTTTTAAGGAAAACTGAGATTTCCTGTAACTGCTTTCTGAATTTTGGTATTAGTAGAAACAATTTGTCTCCTTGGCAAGCATGGTTTGGATTTTGGTCTTTGTTAAGCAGAGGTTTGTGTGTTTCAGCATTTACACCATGAAGCCACCCAATGGAGTCAAGTTCCTTGGCTGGCTTCTGGGATACTCTGAGTATGGGCATTTGGAAAAGGCCGTCTGCCTTTTTCCTGGGGGTTTCGAGGGTCTGTCTAGCAGGCAAAAGAAGATCTGATTTAAGGGTGAGACAAGTCTAGGAGTATCCAGTATCTACCTT